GCTGACAAGCCTATAACTACCTCGGTCATCCAGTTTACCCTTTTAAAATACTAGCATAACAGTGACTTTCTTCCAGTCTCCTGGAACTCCACCAATGTTCCAAGTGTTATTGAAAATAAACATTAATGGTCTAGCAACTGCTTCCGCCAATTCTTTTAAAACTCTTAGATGCTAGTTACCCAGACTTGCTGATTTAAAAATGTCCACTTTTAGCAGCTACTTTTGAACATCCTCCTGAGTTACTACTGGAATGGAAAATGTTTCATTATCAAAATATGATGCACTTTAACTGTGTATGCAAAATGTGTGCATGAGATGAAGTAAAGTTTGTTTTTAAGTTTGTTTGCATACTCAAACACCTATATTCAATATGTGCAGCTGCTTGCTCTGTCTTTCTCTGCAGGTTCTGACACCACATACAATGAATCTCTACAAAATACTTAAAGCCATACTTCAGGGCTCTTTCCCCAATTTGCACAGAGGGCAGCCTGAATCCCAAGCCTGTAATCTCTCTGTCATGCAGATGATACCATTGTCAATTCCTTCAGGAGCTAATAAATAAACAAACTAAAAATAATAAATTAAAAGGGCACTTTAATGTGAGTGATAAATTCATGTTTGGACTGAATTATTTTTTAAAGGTGGGGGTAATAACAGTTGTGGGGCACCCAATAACAGTGTTGTACAAAGGTGGAGCGCTCAATAAGAGCGTTATTAAGGTGGAGGCTGAACTAAGGAAAGCACTCGAACGCCTGGGGAGCCATGGCATGGGAAGACTCTAGCAACATACAGAAAAGATCGGTTATGGCATGTTCAGCTCTCATTGACTTCTGGATAAATACTTTTCGGTAAAATCCAGCAGCACCAGTGGGACCCAAACACTCAGGCTGGTCCAGCACTAGTTTAGTGTATTAACTCTAATTTAATAGAGCTGTGAAAACTGCAACCTCAAGACTGAATCAAGCTTTAAGAAAAGTAAATCCTCTGCCATGTAATGAGAAAAGCATTGGGGACAGAAAAAATATAAAATAAGCAAGAATTAGAGCAATATGGGACTAGGACATTTCTCAGGGGGAAGAGAAGGATCAAAAGCTATCAGATATCTTAGGCTAATTGACTACAGGTTCTGAATTACTCTGTCTCGTAGGAGAAAGAGAAAGACTATGCCTGGGAAAACCCCTCCACAGATAGATATGAACTAAGAACAATTTCCAGAAGCCAGGAATTAAATTCACTATGGATCCTGTTGAAGTTAATGGGAGTTTTACCATTGGCTTCAGTGGGAAAAAGAGTAGGCATATTACTCATGGAACCCTGAGGGAATGCAATCTGGCTTGGAGATTATCCTGGCCCTAGATCTTAAACTGAATCCCAAACTATTTTCAATACATATGACATTTTCCAACCCACCTGTTTCTTATTTATTTGCTGTTTTATTAATCCATCTCAAAACAGGTCCAAAAAAAGTTCCTGTACTTACTCTGCTTTCATTATTACTTATATACTATTGTTGGGGACACTGGGCCATGGCCACTAGGTAACTCGAGGGGATGGAAGACCATGAGTGTCGATGAAGCCCCCTTGCACTAGGCCCCGGTGTCCTTGGCCCCCCCTCCTGCCTGGAGGCACTCGCAGCAGCTCTGCGTACTAGGCCCAAGTGTCCTTGGCCCCCCCGGCCTGGAGGCACACACAGCAGTTATGCTGAGAATCTGCAACAGTATGTTGCAGAGTCAGACGGCCTGAAACTAAGCAAGGCCAAACAGGGGAGATATGGAAGAACAATGCTGAATAAAGCAGCTTTATGTATGGTTTAACAAATGATACAGAGAATCAGGAAACTAGCTGGGAACTGGATTGGCTGGCTATATGGATACTTGGGGCAGCTTGCTATTGGATAAGTATGCTGGGAAAAAGGATGTATAAAAGCCTGTGTAACTTCCTGCTCTGTGTGCAGGATTTGAGATTTTATTCTCCCTGTACCTTTTTGCAGCTGCAAATAAACTTTTCTGCTTCTCCACCCCGTTGTGTTTATTGGGTGTAGCACACCAGGTAACGAACCAACTCAAGCTGTTGTTCAGCCTCTCGGCACTGGATGCCGGCAACACTATTATGATTTGAACTAATTTAACATAATACTAAATGCAATTTTAGCTCTCAAAACTTTGATGGTGTTACTTTGACATAGATCAGAAAACAAGCAGCAGCGAGGAGTATTCATTTCAAAGTGAAATGCGCTTTCTCCCAGCCCCATGCCTTTAACCTAAAAAACACAATGTAGTGCCTCCTTAGCTACTTTAAATGGAGCTCTCCTGCATGCCATTACATCACAGTGGAAAGTGAGTCAGAACAGTAAACAGCACTTGTGGTGCTTTGTAAACAAACGTGTCTCTACAAACCCACAAATATAAACCTGAACACTGTTTTAAAAACTTTGGACCCAAATTTATCTCTGATGTCTCTCTACTGACTTCAGTACCTTGCACTTGGGATGAATTTGGTTAATTTTCCCTTACTTGAACTAAACAAGGTTCCCGTCACTTGTGAATGTCATTGTGCTAACATAAACACAGCGTGCTTTTTTATCTTATCTACACAAAAGGTGCAGGACGATTAGCTTTTACTACTCCATGGCACACAGTGTGTTTTGGGAGACAGCTAAATCCCTTTTCTGATGCGAAAGTGCAATCAATATAGCAAGCAAAGTAACAGGTGCAGCAAGCAGCAGCTAGCCCTGGCAATAACAAATGGGAATCAAACACCTAGAGACACCCCAAAGGGAACTGGAAGGTGCTGTTGACAATTATGATGTGGCTCCTTTCCTGGGACCTCACTAAGCATGAAGGCTAATAAGACAGAAATAGAATGGCATTCATTAACACTGACTTCCCGGCAATGCTTCAGGAGTTCTGTCAAGTATAAATGAGCTCATTTAAGAGTCATTGGGAATAGCGTAACTCGGCCAGCATTCCATTCCATGCTGATGACGCTCGTTAAAAAAAATGCTTTAATTAAATTTGTGACTGAACTGCTTGGGGGGAGAATTTTATGTCCCCTGCTCTATTTTACCTGCATTCTGCCATATATGTCATGTTGTAGCAGTCTTGGATGATGACTCAGCACATGTTGTTCATTTTAAGAACACTTTCACTGCAGATTTCACAAAACACAAAGAAAGTACCAATGTGAGATTTCTAAAGATAGCTACAGCGCTTGACCCAAGATTTAAGAATCTGAACTGCCTTCCAAAATCTGAGAGGGATGAGGTGTGGAGGGAGCATGCTCTCAGAAGTCTTAAAAAAGCAACACTCTGATGCGGAAACTACAGAACCCGAACCAGCAAAAAAAGAAAGCTCCTTTGGATTGTTATTGTGCAGAACCTGTCACCAGCATGGACACATGTCCCCTGAAATGATGGTTGAAGAATGAAGGGATATATGAATCTTTAGCACATCTGGCACGTAAATATCTTGCGACGCCGGCTACAACAGTGGCATGCCTGTTCTCACTTTCAGGGGACATTGTAAACAAGAAGTGGGCAGCATTGTCTCCTGCAAATGTAAACAAACTTGTCTGTCCGAGCGATTGGCTGAACAAGTAGGACTGAGCGGACTTGAAGGCTCTAAAATTTTACATTGTTTTATTTTTAAATGCGGGGTTTTTTGTGCATAATTCTACATTTGTAAGTTCAAATTTCATGGAAAAGAGAGTGCACTACCATACATGTATGAGGTGAATTGAAATACTATTTCTTTTATTTTTTTTACAGTGCAAATACTTGTAATCAAAAATAAATATAAAGTGAGCACTGTACACTTTGTATCCTGTGTTGTCATTGAAATCAATACATTTGAAAATGTAGAAAACATCCAAAAATATTTAAATAAATGATATTCAATTATTGTTTAACAGTGTGATTAATTGCGATTAATTTTTTTAATAATTTGACAGCCCTAATTTAAAGTAAACATCTCAAAAAATCATGGGTAATGCTAATTAAACCACTACAGAGAGCATGGTAATAAGGCCATATATCCATCTTTGGGATAGCACCTATTGCCAAAATGACTAAGCCCTTTGGGTAGGGTGACCAGATGTCCCATTTTTAGAGGGACAGTCTCATTTTTTGGGACTTTTTCTTATATAGGCACCTACTACCTCCACCCCCTGTCCTGTTTTTTCACAGTTGCTATCTGGTAACCCTACCTTTGGGCAAAAATTAAAAACTATGAATGGCTTCAGGTGTTCACCATGGGTAGCATTAAAGGGTCCGCTGCTACATGCAAGAGAATATCAGTGCCCAATTGTTAGGAACAAAACTAAATAAAGAGAAACCAAATAACAAAAATTCATCAACTCAAAGGAAAACAAAATAAATAGACTATTGCTATTAGCTCTGCAATTGGATCTTAGAATCAGATTGTGACAACCTTACTCATGCTAAATGGTCCCATGGACTTCAGCAGGTCTCCAGGAAGAGTCCTACTGAAGCCAGTGGGAGCATGGATAGAGTAAGATACTATGCTACTTGAGTAACGGTGGCAAAATCTGTCCCTTAGTTAATGTCATGAGATGAAACAGAATCCAACTCACTTTCTTATAGCTTTGTGGACTGTGCAGTGCTAATAGGAGCAAAAAGGAGTCATTAAAATCAGCAGACATGTCTCGGAATTTACACTAGGGAGAAATATGTGGAGTATGTTTACTTAGATGTGTTTCAGAGGATAACACTTTAATGTTGCCATTACTTGTAAATCAGATAATTGGCAACATTTACTGGGTATGGCAAGGCAGGAGGGTTTTTTTTAAAGCTAATACTTTTTCCAACAATGCCATATTTGGATACCAGTGAAAGTAAATATACGCTCTAAAAATAAATTGACAAGTGCTATAATAAATGGTTTTGAGTCAATAAGAGAAGTTGGGGATAGGGAGAAGGGAAAGGGAAATACAGACTTCTGCATTGGACCCAGTTTTCAAGAAGAAAATATATCGGTACATACTTTATGAAGCCACAGTGGAATGTGTCCTGAATCGCTCTGTGATAACTGCTTTTGCTGCACAGCTGCCCAGCAGTAGGAATCCACATACGCAGCCTGGCGCCAGGAGAATGAGCTGGGAGGAAAACAGCTTATCTGGGTACCTAAAATGCAAAGCAAAATGTATCAAAAGTCAAAATTTAAAAAGAACAGCTAATGAACATTTCAGTTTTTTCCAATATTAAATCCATGATGTAAGAAAAAATAAATCAGGATTCTCCAATTAGCTATTTAATCTAACTGTTCCCATTTCACCTTCTGGGGTAACAATATTGGTTCTCTGGACTTTTCTGAATGATATACTACCTTTCTCCACCAGCCTAATCATGAGCCTCTGTGCTGTACTCAAGCATGCCACCATTGCCCACCTCATTCAGGGCTCGTCTACACTACAGCTTAGGTCAATGTAACTCATGTCACTCGGGTGTGAATAAGCCACCCCTCTGAGCAAGGCAAGTTACATCAACCTATCAGCTGTTCACACTGGTGCTATGTCGGCGGGAGACGCTCTTCTGCTGACGTAGCTTCCGCCTCTTGCTGAGGTGGGGTAATTATGCTAATGGAAGAGTGCTCTCGTGTTGGCATAGCATGTCTTCCCCAGACACGCTACAATGGCGCAGCTGCACCAATGCAGCTGTGCCGATGTAGCACGGTTGTGTAGACTAGCCCTCAGTTTGTGCATCAATGAAATCCAAGCTCCACTGCAGGGTACAACATATCCCGCTGAATGGGAGGTAACAGGTGCAGTCTGCAAGGACTACGGGTACGTCTACATTCGAGAGGGAGGCGTGATTCCTAGCTCAGGCATACACACACATGCTCGCTCTGATTGAGTTAACACCTAAAAGTTAAAAGTGTAGCTATGGAGGCACGGGCAGCAGAAGTTCGGGTTAGCCACCTCAGTATGTGCCTAGGGTCTTGGACAGGCTCACACAGGCTAGACCCTCCTGCTATCTGTGCCACAGTAGCAGACTTCTAATTTTAGTCGTTAGCTCAATCAGACTTAACACAGGCAATCGCACCTCCCAGCTTGAATGTAGCCAGGGCCAAATTCAGACTTGGTCCAGCTCTAATGACTCATGAAACTTTCCCACAGCGGGTTGTACCTCATAAGGATGGGATTATTTGGTGAGCCACATTGTTGACACCCTTCATATAAAGCCAGAACAGGATGAGGACATTAGTTAGCTTATTTTTGCACAATTTTCCAAAAAGGAAAAATAATTTCCTGTGCTCTATTAGAAAATAGTAGTATTGGACCTCCCCAGATTCTAAAATAACTCTGGCTAAATCATCTAAAATTATACATATTGGAGAATGACTTCTAGTAAGTCTGGGAGGATGGCTTCTGTAGGACTGAGCCTTTCATAACCTCCTGCACACAACAGCATTCCACAGCTCTGTTGAAGGGAACACCACCACAAGAAATAAGCTGGATGGGAAAACAGGTGCACTGTACAGGAACTATGAATTCACAGCAGGTTTTGCCAAGTGGCCCTACTATTTGTTCACCATTTATACTTTTGTACATTTTTCTTATTTTGGCTTGCTCATTTATGCACTTTTTAAGGAGAAACTTTTTTTTAAAATTAAGTTGACTGACTTGTAAAAATGAGGCAGAATAAGTTAATCTTTGAAAGCTGCATAGACTATTTTAAAAAAGGAATCACCATTATTTCTGTTGGTATATTACCCACCCCTCCCAAATTAGTGCTGATGCGGCCCCTGCATTGCCTTAAAAAAATCAACAAAATATTTGCAAGATTACTTCCTGGACTTTGTATCCACTTGCCAATGCAGTTCTTACAAAAGAAGAAGAGCCCCTTTTATAACAAGAACGAAATTCATTAAAACTATAACTATGCCACCTTGTGAACCAAAGATAGTTAGGGGCTCCAAGCACAATATGAACAAAAAGCTTAATTGTGAGTCACTGTTCTCATTATTTATAAGACTGCAGTGACATGACAACATGCTCTGACCAGTCACAAGGCTCCCTCATGAAATCAGTAACACATTTATCAGATTTAACGAAAACTTAAATGGATTTAACAGAGTTGGCACAACCCTCAACAGTTATGCCCTACCAAAACTCCAGGGTGGCTTGTACTTTACAGGCATTTTCTCCACTATCAGTGGAGGGCCCAGAAATACAGTGCAGGCCAGTGCGGCAATTTGTGTGCCCTTCATCATCTGGATATCCAGCAGAACAAATGAGCTTTATGTTCTGCCTTCATTATTTAGCAAGACTCTAGCTGCTGTCAATGGGGGTTTCTGTGTGTGAAATAACAGCAGAATATGACCCTTTCAAACATTCAAGAGGTGAATAACTAGAATTGTGCTGAGCCATGTTTGCCTTAGTAATGCCGGTGTCATCAATGAGAGTAATTGAACGTAATTCAGATGCAGTAGAACCTCATTAATTTGAATTAATCCATGGGAGACCCATTGCAAATGACTACGTTTTTGTGAATTAGTGAAGAAGGGAAAGTGCTGTGTGCCTCCTACGAGGTGCTAGCTATTTTGATTCCCACTACAGTCAAGGAGAGTTAAGTGAGTTCAACATTTTGCAGAATCAGGCCATAAGAAGAAAACAAAGAAAAAATATATGGATCAGAAAATGTATTTTCCCATTTATTTATGGTTTAATTTTAGTGATTGATAATACTTCATAACATGTTAGTGTAAATTTTCCACATTGTTACACCAATTTTATGCCAGTGTAATTCCACTTATCTCAATGGTATAATGAAGGTTCTTTGTATTTATCTAGTTTCAGCAGTGCACCAGATACTGTCACAGAGAAGTATGAAGACAGAGACATCAGTGGAAGTTGAGGGCACTCAGGACCTTGCGGGACTAGGACTTAATTGACATATAAGCATACTGTAGCATTTTTTGTAAGTTATGGATTCTTATTGATAGGAGTCATCATTTCAGATGAGATTGCATTTTTGGGCATGAAGTGGGCAGATTAGCAACGTTCTACTGCATGTTTATTTTCAGTGTTTTCAATTCACTTTTTGCAAAGGATTAACACCTATTAAATCAATACAGGCAAAAATATTTTTAATGTAAAGGTATCTTGGGGAGGAAAGTTAAAACCATTAATAAATTATTTTTATTATTTATATTGGGTAGCACCTAAAATCCTCAGTAAATGATCAAGGCCCCGTTGAGGAAGGTGCTGCACACACATGGAATTTTTTTAAAAAGCCAGTGTCCCCCAAAATTAACAATGTTAGCACATGATGAGGGACTGCAGGTAGATACAACAAATAAAGGTGCAGGGGGAAGATGAGGTAACTGCAAAACTATCATGTTTATTATACTAAGCTGCAATCACAGCACACTTTGCCTAATTTGAAGAAAAGTTATGTACTGACAACAAAATTATATTTGCACTACTTTTAACACAGAGAAGGTAGAGAGAAAACTTAATTAATTTTTATGATACAACAGCATTTTCCTCAACAACAAAGCAAAAGGCAATGAAAAAGCCCCCTCATTTACAAGGCTATCCTAAAGAAAGACTGCATAAGACAGCTGCAGCATGCTATCCATTACAACTAAATACAGACTAGAATGTGAGAGGACAAACATGATAAAAGTTATCTTCATAACCATACTGAAATTATCAGAAAATTCACGGACGCAGGAAATTACCTAAAGGCATGCAACTCAGGTACATAGTACAAATCTACATTATGGTGCATAATGAAAGTCTAAGTCTCAGGGCTGCACTCCTGCCTGAAATTTACACAATCCTGAGGCCCCAGTCCCAACATGCCCCTCCCATCCTCTGCCCACTCCCTACATCAGACCTCGTAAAGGGATCCTGCTCAGAAAGCAGCCTTAAGCAGTCTGCTTCAGTAACTGCTCTAGGGCAATCCTCTCACTGCTGGAACCAAGGCTTTTAGGGCGCCTATATGCTGCTCCAGCCTTTTTACCCAGTGTAAAGAGCCTGGAGCATCAGTGAGGATCTCTTCCCCTGGCCTCTATTACCAGCTCTGCCACCAATCTACTGTCTGACTTTGGGCAAGCCACTTTACCTCTCTGTGCCTCTATTTACATATGGCAGAATCTGTCTGACTACGTTTGTATACAGTGCCTAGCACAACAGGACCCTGACCTTGACTGGGGTTTCTAGTACGGAAGTAAAATGTTAACGAGTTAACTGGTAAGCATGAGTCTTACTGGTTAATCCACCTTAACCGTTAAACCCTGGACCCCCAGTGGGTCCGCACCAGCTGGTAGGCTGGCCAACCACAGCGGCCCTACGCCAGCCAGAGCGACCACAGCAGCACCGCCCGGAGCAAGCTCACCATGACCCTGGCCTGCCCCAGCCGCTTAATTGGTTAACTGCTTAAACTAAATATTTTTGAATCGTTTAAATGGTTAACTTTTTAAATGGTATTTACATCCCTAATTTCTAGGCACTGCTGCAATACAAACCATAAGTTTGGGTCTCCTCCTATTCTCCTTGAGGTTAATGTGAGTTTTGCCACTGATTTCAAAGGGGAGCGGGATTTAGTCAGATTTCACAAATCATGGCTCTAATACTGGAAAGGAATCTGCAGGCACAAAAACTTATTCCGCTCCCAGAGTCCCAGTGAAAATCCAAGCTGCTGTAAGAATTCATATGAGTGATTCAACAGTTTTGCTGGTGCAGAACAAGAGAAGGCTGCATTTCAGGGATGGGAGCGAGACTCCTATATACAGTCTGTAAAAATGATCTTGACTTTGATTCTTCAAGATAAAAGTAAACAGCGTGTATTTCCAAACATTAGTTAAATCCTGTGAGATAAATATTATTGTTCTCATTTTATACATGGAAAAATTTGGACACTGAGGCTTAGATTTTCAAGAATTGGGGCATTTGGCCATCTAAATAGACCAGAATTTCAGGTTATGAGCACTTTTGAAAGCTGATATTTAATCACATACTAAAATATTTCTTCTAGTTCTGCTCCTGGCAAGATTGAGCCCCCCAGAGTAAGTATAATAGAACCTCAGAGTTATGAACACCTTGGGAATGAAGGCTTTTCGTAACTCTGAAATGTTCGTAACTCTGAAAAAAATGTTACAGTTGTTCTTTCAAAAG